CCGAAGCCGAGGAATATAGCTAGTTACAGATTATATAATGATTGTTTTTTTTTTCAAGCAATAGTTGCTAGTTCTATCCCTGCAGAGTACATTAAATTTTGTTTTTCATTCATATATCTGTCTGTATATTTCCTGTCTATTATTTATATATATATATATTATAATATATATATATATATATATATATAAACTAAGAAATTGGTTAAATTAAAATATTTTACGTAATTATTATTCATTGTTAAGTACCATAGTTTTGTTACTTTAACATGACAAATCAAAGCCGTTAGAATTTTAACCCAGTTGCTACGGTTTTCTCTCTTAAAGAGGTAAAAATTTAACCTACAAATATATGAACTACGTGTATGTACTGCTGATTGCAATGTTTTAGGAGTTGCGAAGTGCGTGGGTCAAGTTCTAAATATTGTAATTATTATTTTAAAACATTTTTATTTGTTATACTTAGGACTGACTCGTAAATTATACAATCTTTTACAATTATATTTCTTTTAGACATTGATATAAAAAGAGAGATAAATTGTTTTTATTATCATTATTATAATAGTCGTTATCATATTGTTATGTCATGGCTTTTATACCATTAATGAATATTTCGCTGAAAAATGCCAAATGCACTTCACAACCTACACTAGAGATACCATTGATGCTTCTGTTCTTATACACTGATTAATATCACAGTTTGTTAAAATATTTAATTAATTTGGACAACTATTGTACATGCTTTTATTTTCCGTTTACTGTAATAAATAATAATAATATATTGTATGACTAAGGAAAGGAAATATAATGTAGAATATATATATATAAATTTCTTATATTGTTAAAAATTTGCACGCCGACATAGCGGCAGAATTTACACGGGACATATAAACCTCTATCATCTAAAATTACCTGCATTATAGCAAAATAAATTCATTTCATTTCATCATCCACTGCTGAACATAGGTCTATCCTTATTGGAGTAATTTGCCAGTAGTAACTACGCTTGGTAAGCTGGTTGACAACCGTAATTAGGTTTTGGTGATGTTTTAAGTGGGAATACTACTGTCCATTAAGGTTTCTTAGTCGCCGCAGCAGGATTCTTCTAAAAGAATCACCGAAGCCCAACTGCGATTGCTAATGCAACCGCCTGCCAAGCATGTCAACTATTGGCAAAACTCCTCCTTATCGGGGAGGCTTATGTTCAGCAGTCGACAGTTAACGGCTGGTGTTGATGAAGGTGGTAATATTATATTTGGGCAAAAATAACAGTAGTACATAAACAAATAGTTTTTATTTTATTTATTTACTTATTCATTAATAGTACATTACTGCAGCGGCCAGTAACTGAGGCATTGATGGACGAACATGCAAATGTGGACCGAGGCGTAGCCGAGGTACATATACTCGTATGTAAGTCCATCAATGCCTAATTGTGGCCATGACTTGTATAGTACTTTTCTCAAACAATGCGTGGAAATCAAAAACACGATTTTACTTTTTAAGTCAATGACGAATAACGAACAATAATATTTTTTCACGCGCCATAATGTTCCTTTGTTTTTTTTTCAATAAACATTTCTATTTGCAAGCCAGTTCGAAATTTAAATAAAACCTTTTATTAGTTACCTCCTTGGTAGCCATGTTTCAAAGTAAAAGGTCATTCCATGTTTAAATTACAGGACAGATATGTGTTTACATAGTAATTTATCTGGCCGCAAAACACGACAGATATGGATTTTCATACAACTTTTGCCGGCCACTGCCCGCATGTATCTGGCCAGTACGGCAATTTTGATTTATCTCGAAGAAAATTGTCAAAATAATGCTCACATTTCCAAGCATGTTTGAGAAAAATAATTATAACATTATGTCAGTAAAAACCACGAAGTTGACTCAATAAACATCCTTCCTCCTCTCAGCTATTCTCACATATTCGATGCATTTCTTATTGGGGGAAAAACTATCCAATCTTTCAAGTTGAAGCAAATAACACATATTCACAAAATTTCATTAAATTCGGTTGAGCTGTTTCGGAGAATAGCGTGAACGAACACCGTGACATGGGATTTTTATATATTAAGATTTGTATGAGTATTACGAGGCCGCAATAATGCTGAAAATAATATTTTCAAGGTAACTTTTGGGTAAAAATCGTGTGTGTGGTGAATCAATAATGGAATAGGTAGATACCTATTCCAGTATATGTAAAATAATGGAAATAGGAAACTGAATACGAAATAAATAATAGTCAAAATATATTGCTTGCCCCTATAATATCATCATCATATCAGACTTTAACTGTCCACTGTTGAACATAAGTCTCCCCCTTGGGGGGTTTTCCCAAACTTGGCAGAAGGATTGGCAATCGCAATTAGGCTATGGAGATATTTTAAGAGGGACGCTGCGACCTATCCCTCGCCCTCCCTTAGTCGTCTCTTACGACACCCACGGGAAAGCAAGGGGTGACCTATTCTATTCGTATGTCAGGACCACACGGCTAATAATATACTCATATAAAAATAATAAATCTAAATTATTTAAATTATTTTAGGGTTTATGTTGCTATTTCTTAGACTGGTTTATTACTCATCTAAGTAAACACATGCTATGTTTTCTTTATATATTTATTGACAATATTACAGGCGATACTTATCGTTTTCCATAAGGTGGGCCGTAAGCTTTTTTGTCGTTTTAAAGTTGCATAGATTAGAAAAGATTTAGAAATAGACTTTAATGTATATCCGTTTTATGATTATAATTTTTTTATAATAATTTACGATTGTATTCCGTATAAAGAAAAACTGACTTCAATTATCGCAAACCCAATTATTTTGTTTTACAAACTGGACTACTGATAAAATTTCTGGGCACTAATCTTAAAATATATCTTCTGATAAAAAAAAAATGTTCTAAATCAGTTTATAACTGACCGAGTTATGAGGTAATAAACATAAAAAAATTAACAAACAAATTTAGAATCTTTTTAACGTCAGTTGAAAATGAACTTGACTCATTTTTTCTCATTGATATTTTAACAAATGTGTATCTGGCATGTAACAATAATTATCTTTCAGGAATGTCTAAGTGTGAACAATTAGTTTAGCTTGACTAAACTATAAACAGTTATTTTTTTTAGACTATAATTTGCATTTGAATACTGTATGGTTTGTGTCTTGTGACGAACATGCAAGCGAATCGATTGTAGTGTGAAGTTGGAAGGATTTATTACTTTATTACGCAACGATTAAGATTTAAAATTAAGTACATTTTTTGCTACTCTAATTGTACAGTGACAATGTTTTTATTTAGAGACAATGAAAAAAAAAATGAGATTTACGTTGTAGTATATGGATCTTTAAATTGTATTTTTGGTTGTGATTCTAGTAAATTGCGTATTATTTGTTGATGGTATTGTTTGTTTATGTACAAAGATTTGTTTTTTGTTCGAAATACAATTCTTAATTATAAAGATGAATAAGTTTCTCAGCGCCCGTGTGGTCCCGGCATAACATAGGTCACTCCTCCATTTCGCATAAGTGTCGTAAGAGGCCACTAAGACAACTTAATAGTCTTTGTAGAGAGAATAGGCAGGGGCGTCCCTATTAAAACATCTCTAAAAGCCTAACTGCGGTTGCCAACCCGCCTGCCAAGCGTGACAACTACTGGTAAAACTCCCCTTATGGGAAAGACTAATGTTTATTTATTTATTTAAGGCAAAGAAACAGTTAAAATAATTCATAATTAAAATATAAGTAAACGAAACAAAATTAGACAATACTAAAATTATTAATAATTATTATTAATAAAAAAAAAATATATATATATAATTGCATCCCCCACTTTCAGTAAAATTACAATTGTTTTGAAAGTGAATATTATTACTTTATTTCGTGCTAAAATCAGTACCCATAATTATATTTCTTTTAAATAACAGATATCAATATTCAATTTTCAATATTTCTAGCCGACGTTCCGGAGTCCGTTCATAGCGGGAATCATATGGCACATTTGTATATTCCGTATATAGTTTGTATGTCATGCAAACTTCATGCGTCCATTCGTCTCGCAGATCATGCAGCACTCAGTACGAGTATATTCGTATACTTATAATATTTTGTGTAAATTTAAATGCGTCCTTTTAAGACAGACACTATATGGCGCACCGTATATTTCATATGTTATGTATTGTATTTAACTAGCTTTATGCGTCTCTTTATAATGGAAATCATACGGTATTTTACGTACTTCCATATACTTTTTAAATTTACATACATGCAAGGTGTACATTAATTAAAAGACTTTTTTTCTAAAAACATATTCTTGTTTTATTTAGAAAATTAGTACAGATATCTATTAAATAAAATTATTGATAACAAAGTAAATAAGATTTCTCATAATAACATTAAACAAAAGTATTTCTTTATTTAAGTCGTATTCTTTTATAAATTGTCTAAGAAAATCAGTACTAAACTCTGTTAAATGAATGTAATGAATACAAATAAAATTTCTTACAGTAATATTAAGCATCAACATTTTTAAATCGAAGCACTTTATTATTTTATTTACCTAACAAAATCGGCACAATTCTAATCCTATGAAATAAAATCATTATTCAGAACAAAGCAAATAAACACTTTTAATTATATAAAAGAATTTATAATTACAATCAAATATTTGTTTTATCTTTGTAAGAAAATCAGTACAATCTGTAAACTTATAAAAAAATGTTATAAAAACAAACAAGACCTCTTATAATAACATTAACTAACAAATTTTTTAACAAAAATCACATTATTGTTAAATCTATAGTAAAATAACTAACGTCAGCAATATTAATAAATCTGTAAGCTTAATATAAATAATATTACTTAGATTGAACACTAACACGCACATCTTAATTATATTAATATATGTATATTTTAAATAAAGAGTCATATTAAAAGATAAGCAAGTTTTTGGAGTAAGTTTGCTTCAAATAAACCAATGTAATGATAATTATCCTATTTTTTAGAATAAATATTTTGAATAAAAACTTTAATTTTGAGCCAGTCTTTATTTTGTAACAGTTCTGGGTATTGTCCTTTTAAATTTTCGCATTCTAATTTTCTGGGAGGTTTTTTATTTTGTATATGGCTCTTGAAAAATTTGGTAACAACTTTCTTTTGTTCCATAGACCAGGGTACTAAGTTTCTCTTTTTCCCTTTTTCAATTCTTTTATCTGTTATTGTCATCACCTGGTGATTAGGTTCAGATATTTTATTTTCAATCCAAATTCCAGGTTGTACACAAGAATTTTCAACTGACAATTGTGGTGTGGGTAAATCGAAATCTAAAATATCATCATTTACAATTTTTTCTTCTTCCTGCAATTCTTCATTTAGATCTAAATCTATTCCATCTAAACCTTTCCCTCTATAAGCATCTGCTTTTCCATCTTCCATAAGTATTAGAAGTTTTGAAATTTTAGCAGTTTGATACACATCATCTGGCAATCTATACGATTTCTTATGAACTTCATTAGTATGCCCCATGAACGTAGCTAATTGTTCCAGATCATTTTCAGACATACTAAATATTTGTGATAGCGTCGCTAAATGTTTTCTCAGTCTTGTGGAAGAAATTGCTTTCGGATTTTTTGCTCCAGATAATCTCGAGTACCTTTCCAAAACTTTATACCCATATATCGAGTTCTCAAATCCTGGGTTCCCAAACAGTAATTTATTTGTTGTAGAAACAAATTTGTCCCTTATTGTAAGCAGAAGTTTTATATCACCTTGAACTTCTTTACTAAATAACACGGGAACCTCACGTCCTCGTTTGCCTCTAACAACAACTCGTTTAAATGTTTTTACTAAAACTCGCTCAGATGCACTTAGCGTTCGATCGAATTCTTCATATTTTTCAGAAGTATTTAGGTCATTTTCCAAGTAATCATGTAGCGTAATTCTTTGAAGTTCCCCAGGTCTGCGCCGATTCAGTAGCAAAACTCTGCAATATATTGTCTCTAATAATTGTATGTATACCCCAAGGTGATAAGAACCTTCTTTAATTTTATTGGCAGCTTCTTCAGCGTGTTTGTTAAGAAATTTTTTTAAAATTTTTAAATCATTTGCTAAAGGTATTATGGTAACTTTATTCCACTTTTTTTTGTTTAGATCGGACGCAGCCTGACTTGAAACATCATATTTCCAATTAGAATCTATAAGGTGTATCAAAGTTTTGAGGCCCGCTTCTATTTCAGCAGTGTTTACTTCCATGTATGGCCCTTGTTTTTTTAATGCAAGCATAAATGCTATATTGCAGCACTGCTTTATGCTAGTAGAAATATTCATTGCAAATGTAGGCGAATCAAATCTATCTTTTTCCGAGTCATATTTACCTACAACCTTTGTAGCTGACACTATAAGATCATAATATTTCGGATTAAGTGCACCTAATAAATCTTTCACCGATTGATCTTTTTTTCTTATTTCAATTAACAATTTAGCTAGTTCTCTCATTTTTCTAGAAATTACATTCACAAAATGCATTTCTCTATGATTTTTCATATATTGTGACCCAAATGCACAAATGAGCAAATCTGATTTAGCAACAAACGATATCTTATCAGGTCTCATTCTGGGGAATACGGTTTCTTTAAGTTTTTCATCGATTTTCAAATGTTTTATTAACAAATTTTGTGCTTCTGATTGCACATTTTTAGTATTTTTTCCAGTGCACTTCTTATTATGTTTCCATAAAAGATTTCTTGAATAAAATCCTAAGCAATTAGTGCAAGGTAAATAATTAGTATATTTATGTTTTCTCATGGGCTTCGTCACTTCGACAGAATTTTGTATAAAATTTCCTTTTTTTCTTAGTTCCGTAATAAGTTTTTTTCTTGTTATACTTTTTTTAGGTACTGATAATATTTTTTGTACTTCTGTTTCAAGAGCATGGTTTCTTAGTAAATGTCTCGCAAAATTTAGAACTAAAGTTTCGCAGTAAAAACAAAAGTCTTTATTACGGATTACTTTTTTTGAGGGATTTTCATATTAGGTATTACTATCTCATTTTTATTACTGTCTCCAAGAACATTATTATTAAGGTGTATAACTACATCTTGTTTCGAAGGATAATTTTTATTGCATGAAGAGCTCTCAATGGAAATTATTTCGCCGCAAGAAATATTATTTTTATTACTAATATGACGACTAGTACTATCTACGTCTTTTGTTGATTCTTGGATGTTTCTTTCTAATATGACGGGACAGTTCATGTTCTCTTGTAGGAATGATTCATCAGAGCTAGTCTGCAAAAAATACATTTTAATTTTTAATACATAAATTTAATGTATTTAATCATTATGATGTTTTTGAGAAACATAATACAAAGTAGAATTCAATGATATTTTTTAATATAAGAATAAAGTATTTAACATTGAACATTTTTTCTTTTATAAAAGAACAAATGATAAAATAATTATACATGGTTTATAGAACAATGTACAGTACTGATAATACTGATGACATTGAACAATATACTTCTATAAATGTAGTCGAAATAAGAAAGCATTTGTTGAGTTTTTCACATAAATAAAATTAGTATGAAAAATTAAAAAAATAATTTTATATTTAGATTATACATATTTCTTAAATGAATTAGGACTGATATAACAAAATATAGAAAAATCTAAATGGAAAGTATTAAAAATTCAAATAAAAAAAAAATTGTCTCCTTACGTCATGTGCTGACGGAGTGTAGTTGGAATCTGTTCCCGAATTGTAATTACTTGAGTCAGACATTTCCTATAACAAAAAGACGATGTGGTTTAATAAAAAAATAACCTATCTGCTGCGTTTTAAATTTTGTTATTGCTGTATGTGAATAGATAGGTAACCAGTTTAAAATTAATGATGGTTGGCAATAATTTACTGAATTATTTCCATAAAGAACCCCACCATACTATAGGTAACTATAGTATAAAGGAAAAAAGATAATTACCTCATTATTTGTTGAATCTGATGATAAATTCACTGATGTTTCAGTTTTTTGACAGGAATCTGAAAATAATAAATAATCCACTTATCTAATAGATTTATAGGTAACTATAATCTCTTTTTTTATAAATGGTGGTAATATTAATATATCTTTGCATGATTTTTATTGTTATAACATTGTGTAAAACAATTGGCTAAAATAAAAAGATTTTGTTAAAAAAATTAATCTTAGTTTTAAAATTAAGGTATTTTTTTTTATAGAAATCATTATTTTAAAAATAAAAAAGATAATTTTTTATACAACTTAGAACGGCAAACAAGCTGATAGCCCACCATCCCACGCAGATGGAAAGTGGTAACCGTCGAAATCAAATTAGGCAATAGTACATAACTAAATAACACAAAAGTATATTTAATATACTAAGAATGTCTATTATTTCTGTGCGATTATAAATAAAATATGTTAGGTAACCTTTTTAAGTACAAAAACATTCGTCTTCCGGGTAGTGATCGTAAATTGCATATTGACAAATATTACACCAAAAGAAAGAACTATTACACAGCTTTAGTATATCATCACGATTCATAGATAAAACAAAATGATTTGGAATCGAATCAAGATCTTTTGTAATTTTTGTGTCACAAACACAACATGTCTTATTTAAAACAAAATGAGTGGAATACCACGGCCACAGTGGACAGTGTTTGTAATAACTTTTGAAGTCATTTCTATTAAAAAATCTATCTACATCAATAACAATGACCATGATGAGGTCGTGCGATTTATAACGACGAATCGACTACTACAACTGTCTTGATTTTATTGTATGTTTAAGATAACTAAATTATATGTATTAGTATGTAGGTAAGGACGTAAGATTATGTCCTTAAAATTTCTTTTAATCTTCTAACATAAAGTATACTTACTAATATAAATATTAGGTACTTACCTTTCAATAATTGTAAAATTCTCATACTCCTTTTCATTTTCGTTTCCAATATTCACTCCTGATATTCACTAAACTCACGTATATAACCTTTGCAGCGTCCTCTCATAAAGGACGCTAAATGACCATATGCCACACCGCTCTTAAATAAATAAACATTACAACGCGCGAATTAAGACAGCTACCCCCTCCCCCTCCGTCTCTACTCCTTGTCATACGTTCCCATATACGCTTTACTAACGGAAGCAATTAAATAATGAATTTAGACAGATAAAAACTTGAAAATTATAATATACGGTAGTGGCATTCGCGGAGTAATATATGGAAAAAAAGTTGTATATACGATGCGCCGATATACGGCGCACAGTATCGCCCTCCAAATGTTGTGCGACAAACCGCGGAACTAAAAAATACGCCGAATTACAATAAGGTGACCAAATAGCGTCCATGCCAATTTTTTGGTAAAACGTTATACTAACAATAAGGAGTCTGTAGCATATATATATATATATATATATATATATATATATGCAACTTGTATACACATAATCGTCATTGTCATGAACAGTACCGTGGATATCACATAACATACTATGATTCCTATGGTACGTATATCCGATACAATGCCATTCCTAAAGACTATGGCGTTATACCTCTGTATTTCCCGTAATTGCACTATCCAATTAAGCTGTCGTCCAGTAAGCTACGTCAGAACCTCTGTCTACAACAAAGAGTGGCTTATAAACTCTGACACCAGAGGGCGCCACTCTCACATATTAGTTTATTATTTGGAGTCAGGTCAAAAATACATGATAAGATAAAAGATGCGTACATATTTAATAGATGGAGTCAAGTTAGAAGATTGTCTTAACTCAAAATTTTGAGCTAGACGGTCCAATGTATTTTGATCTCTTTCGACACATATTTTTATAGATGAAAACTTGTACATCTGTCTTTTATATTAGATTAACCTAATACGATGTTTCCCAACGTGGGGCCCACGCCTCACAGGGGGCCAATTATGGAAAGGGGGGGGGGGGAGGGACAATTAAAAAATGGACTCGAAGCGATTTTAACCCTCTTGCTTCGGGCCATTTAAATACAATGCTACGAGTGGATATCGGTGCCAAATTTAACAAATAAAGTAAATTAAAAAAGATGCTGGAAATATTTATTAGGTATAATTTCGTTTGATATTACTAAAATGTCAACTGGGCGATTAGAGTCGTCAAGTCAACTTTGTCGGAAAAATTATGTATGGGGACATAAAAATTTTAGAAATGTTCAAGTGGGGCATGGCACGAGAAAGGTTGGGAAACACTGACCTAATATGAAAGCTAGGGCAAAATATTTAAGGGTGCAATACTGAATTTTTAAGGGACGATTAAAAAATGGTAACCCCTCTTGCGCTGTCGGTATACACTGGCGGGATGAAACTAATTAGGGATGATAGGTGAAGATGGTTTATCGTAACGAATCCAATAATAATTCAGTGGGGGGGAAGGGATTGTTAGTAATGCGGACTACCAGTCCCGTTACTAGCAATATACCTTGTCAGGTCGACCTCCTCGTGGTTCCCCTTGAAATTCATCGTGATTGATTTATTGTTAGATTCATCACGGTGGGCTAACTGACCTGCTTCATCCTCACCTATCATCTCTCACTGGTGCCCCGTCAGTGTATACCGATAGCGCGGGTGGGGTTACCATTCCATTATCATCCATTAAAAGTTTATTATTATTATTACAATGATTGCCAGGGGGAACTGCGTGGAAATCGACCTGATAAGGGGATATTGCTAGCAATAAAATTGCTAATCCCTCTTACCAATAATCTCTTTTTTTCCTGGATATGAACTGTCCCATTGCTAGCAGGATCTGGAAATCCTAGTGATTAATTATCGTTGAATTCGTCGTGATGGACCAGTTGGTCTGCTTTATCCACACATATCATCACTCACTGGTACTCCGTCAGTATGTACGGCATATACAGTATATATACTATTTCATTTTCACCCATAAAAAATAGTAAAAGCAAAATAAATCCCTTATCTTGCGTTATGTTGCAGGATTCACCTTCGAGTCCGTGTTAGAGATATGACAGTGGGGCCTAACTGTTCCATTGCTAGCAATATCTAGAAATTGCTGTGATTAATTACTGTTGAGTTCGTTGTGATTAGCCAACGAATCTGCTTTATCCTCACATATCATCTCTCACTGGTACCCTGACCGTATATACTGATACCGAAGGTGGGGTCACTATTTCATTTTCATCCATAAACAAAAAAAATTCTAAGAGTGGGCTATATTTTGCGTAATACTACAGTATTCAGATTCGAGTCCGTGTTGGGGATATGTCAGTGGGGTCTAACTGTTCCATTGCTAGCAATATCTAGAAATTACCATAATTAATTACTGTTGAATTCGTTATGATGGGCCAACTGACCTGCTTTATCCTCACATATCATCTCTCTCTAGGGTTTAGCTTCGAGTCCGCGTTGAGGCTATGACAGTGCGACTGGAAATACACGGGCATGCAATTTATTTATAGTAAACGCGTGTCGCGGGCGCGTAAAATCGTAAATTAGAAGAATCCGTAGTTCAAATGTGCGCCGCGGCGCGCGCGCTCGCTTCACTACACGACCGACTGGATATTGTGAATCGTGTTTGTTTTATTCGATAATCGTTTTTAATGTTAATCGATTCATTCGATTCATTCGAATTACGTGTTATCAATGTTGTGATTTATTGTGTTATGTTATTAAATCAGTGATGTTTGTTTGAAACGGTGAGGAAATGTTTGATTTTCTAATATATTCGTATTTAAGTGTAAACAAGCTTTAACACAAAGATTTGTCTCGTTGAATTATAATAAATAATATAAATAAATGAGAATTTATTTGCATATAAACATGGTAAATATATATATATATATGTTAACAATTAGTATAAGTTCATATATTTCGCCATAATTAGGCATGTTAAATTTAAAAACCTAAAATTTAATTAATGTCGATTGAATTATGGATATGGCTATGACCTATTCGTGAAATATAATTTAATTCAAATCCGATTATACGTTTAAATGTAATTAAGTAATAATTATTTATATGACTTATATTTTTATTATTAAATAATACAGGTATGGTATTTGTTTATATGGTTTGGTATGGTTTTGTATATATATATATATATATATATATTTATATTTTTAATATTTTATAATAGCAAGAAGGCAATTAAAGAAAAAAGGGTTTAAGTAAATATTTACTTCAATTATCTTACGAATACGACAAAATTGTGTCTAGATGATGTCTGTACATGGGAGACGGGAGACATACATACATACATAAGAGCAATACATGACAAAAATTAAAAATTTTGTCTGTCTGTCTGTCTGTATGTTTGTTGCGGCAACACAGATATTATTTATAAATAAAAATTTGATTATATTTTAGAAGCGATCTTGTTTGTTGATTTACCTTTCTTTTTTTTATTTATACTACTTAGAATGGCAAACAAGCTGACGGTCCACCTGATGGAAAGTGGTAACCGTCGCCTATAGACATGAGCAGTACCATGGACATTACAGAGTTTCGCCCATGATACCTCCCATGCGTTGCCATTCCTGAGGACTCAGATGTTATTCCTCTGTACCCAGTAAATTCACCCTTCAAACCGAAACACAGCCATGCAAACATAATTGCTTCACGATTGAAACACGAATGGGCCAGAGGTACCCAAGCGATCGACTGTTGTACAAAGTCTCCCTCTGGTAAATTCTAAATTCCACGCATACGAAGTCTAAAGTACATAACTCTATCAGTCGTAACCGATTTGGATTTTTTTTGTCTGAAAAATATATTTACAGATTGACGTCATAGAAATTTTATCAAAATCGGTTTAGTGTCTTTTCATTTTTATTTAGTTTTTTAATCAAAATGCCAGTCATTTTGAAAGAATTGAATTCAATTTTTTTTTGTGGAATGCAATCCTAATTTATTACTAAAAGGTGACATTCATATCTGGGACAGTTAACAGTAAAAGAGGTTAATTTAAAATAGTTTATTATTTTTGACGCTTTAACAACTTTCAACTTGAGTAAACAAATAAAATGAAACAATATGTGTACGACTTTAATCCGTAAGGGGGTAGTTAGAGGTAATTGTCGACCTTTTTTTTAACATTGAGATGCAATTATACTTCGGTATTGGAATACCGAGTGTAACGGTGAATTTACGAGTACAATTTATTTATTTGGTTTGGTTTTAAGTTTTTCTGTTTTTTTTCATTATTCTCTTAGTCATTTTGAAAGAATTGAATTCAATTTTTTTTTGTGGAATGCAATCCTAATTTATTACTAAAAGGTGACATTCATATCTGGGACAGTTAACAGTAAAAGAGGTTAATTTAAAATAGTTTATTATTTTTGACGCTTTAACAACTTTCAACTTGAGTAAACAAATAAAATGAAACAATATGTGTACGACTTTAATCCGTAAGGGGGTAGTTAGAGGTAATTGTCGACCTTTTTTTTAACATTGAGATGCAATTATACTTCGGTATTGGAATACCGAGTGTAACGGTGAATTTACGAGTACAATTTATTTATTTGGTTTGGTTTTAAGTTTTTCTGTTTTCATGTATATAAATATTATAATTTTATGATATGATTAGCCCGTCCCGGCTTCGCACCGGTGGACATTTTTACAATATTTTAAAAAAGTGATTATTGTGACATAACGATAATAGTTGGACATATAGTATTATATTTATTATACATATAGTATTATATTATACATATAGTATCGCGAAGTTTTTTGTAATTATTGATATTTTCTTTAATATTGCAGAACATACATTTGTTCTATCACCAATAGTTTCTGCAGCGCATGCGACGAAAGATATTTTATAGCATTTTTTTACACCTTGAGTTACGTTACTAAAGTTTTAGTAAGGATCCTTAATCTTTTCTAGCAATAAATATAGCTTATGTTACTTAAGGTGAAAGTAGCTTTCTAATGGTGGAAGAATTTTTGAAATGGGCAAAGTAGTTTTTGAGTTTATTCATTACAAACATACATACATATAAAAATACAAATTTTTCCTTTTTATAATATTGGTGTGGATGTAGATGTAGATAAGTGGAGAGAAATATACTGATAGGTAATCGTACTGAACTAGTATAAGTTAATATAATCGTGTCCATATTACATATTTTCTTTTAAATTATAAAGTCTGTAATTTATATATATATATATATATAAATATATATATATATATATATATATATATATATATATATATATATATATTAGAGTTATGATCATGGGTAGCTATAAAGTGATCGCTTTTGAAGCTTTTACTGAACGGAAGTTGTTATTAATTGAATTTTATGGCGGATACATTTAATTTGTGTCTCTCAATTTCACCGAAAACACTTCACTCAGGGTCAAATTATTGTATATTGTTTAAACAGGACGTAGTTATGCAGAAAATAGTCGTTATATTGTGTTACTGGAGCAAAAATGAAACTATTAATTATTATTATTTATTATTCATCATTATTATTATCTTTAATTAAAGTTTCATAAAAAATGACTATTCAGTAATCACTATTGATTATTAATTATTATTAAGTTTACTTAAATAAAAAATATTAATTATTATAGATAGATAGATAGATACCCTTTATTGTTTCCTCCAAAAGATTACAATAGTAAACTTATTATAAATATAAACAATTACAAGAAATAATCACAATGAGAAAACAATGGGCGACCTTATCGCTAAGAGCGATCTCTTCCAGCCAACCTTTGGATGGAGAGGAGTAATTTATAAACAATTTGGTGGGAGGCACGATGAAAAATTCTGTTAGTTCTAAATATGGCAGATGTGATACATGTAATAATATAAATATTATCCCTACACATTATTATTTTTATTATTCACAACTAGTATTTGTAATAAAATATTTTGTATACAATAGCTACTAGATATGAGTTTAATAAAACTATTGTGTTAGATAGGCGAATAGGCAAATTTCTTTTGTTGTGACATATTCGTCTCAACTTTAGACAGGAACGATCACCCAATAAAGGCGGTTCATTGGTGCACATGATACGGTCTAATAATTTGATAAGTCATATATCATAGTCTATAGAGTTTCAAACTGTTTGATGTTTATATGTTTGTTGTTCAATCACGCCTAAACATTATATCAAGTGACGTGTTTAACTACGAGCAGAGTTTGGTAGGTTTTTTTAAATAGATAGATAGATACTCTTTATTGTTTCCTCCAAAAGATTACAGTAGGAAACTTCTTATTAGATGCAAAAAATTACAAGAAATAATTACAGTGAGAAAACAATGGTTGGCCTTATCACTAAGAGCGATCTCTTCCAGGTAACCTTTGGATGGAGAGAAGTAATTATAGGTAGTTTGATAATGCAATGGTAACTTCACCTGCGCTAACAATATACGCTGGCGGGACACCAGTGAGGGATGATAAGTGAGGATATAAAGGCAGGTCAATTAGTCCATAGTGATGAATACACCAGGAATTCAGTACGATGGTTTCCAGGGGAGATTACGTGGAGATCGACCTGTCAGGGTATATTGCTGGCAATGGGACTGTCAGTCCATATTACTAACAAACCCTTCCCCCTTTAATAGGGTAGGGACTGCTAGTACCTTATCAGGTTTTAATTTGTAAACCATCATAGTTTAATATTAGTGAATCCATCATGATTATTTACTAATTTCTATTTAATGAATTTCATTTGGAGGGGAAGGGATTGTTAGTAATGAAGACTGAGAATCCCATTGCTAGCAATATACCCAACCAGGTCGACCTCCTCGCGGTTCCCCCTGGAAACTATCATGGTTAATTCCTGATGAATTCATCATGATGGGCTAACTGGCCTGTTTTCATTCTCATCTATCACCCTTCACTGGTGCTCCGCCAGCGTATCCCGTTAGCGCAGGCGGGGTTACCATACCATTTTCACCCATAAAAAAAACAGTTCCATACTAAATCGGCCGTTATTTGTCCACTGCTAAACATAGGCCTCCCCTCATTGGCTTTGCCAGCAATTGCCATGATAAGCAGGTGGGGTTCCGACTGCAATCAGGATTTGGTGGTGTTTTAAGAGGGACACTGCTGGTCATCTTTCTACCATTAACTAACAGTTCCATTGCTAGCAATACACTCTATCAGGTCTACCTCCACGTAGTTCCCACTGAAAATCATCTTGGGTAATTCTTGTGAAATGTGTCACTATTAGCTAACTGACCTGCTTTCAACCTCACATGTCATCCTTAACTGGTGCCCCGCCAGTGTATACCGATAGCGCAGGCGGGGTTACCATTTAGTTAGTACTAGTTAAACAAACAGCATTTCTTATTTGATTTTTTTTTTATTATACAACTTAGAATGGCAAACAAGCTGACGGCCCACCTAATGGAAAGTGGTAACCGTCGCCTATAGACATGAGCAGTACCATGGACATAACAGAGTATACTATTTTGCCCATGATACCCCCCATGCGTTGCCATTCCTGAGGACTCAGGTGTTATTCCTCTATACCCAGTAAATTCACGCCATATCCCACCCTTCAAACCGGAACACAGCCATGCAAACACAACTGCTTCACGGTAGAAACACGAATGGGACAGAGGTATCCAAGCAACAAAGTCTCCTTCTGGTAAAATAACGATAATACTCTGTTATGTCCATGGTACTGCTCATGTCTATAGGCGACGGTTACCACTTTCCATCAGGTGAGG